TTCAAGCAATCTGCAGTAGTACAGCTAGGGAAAAGGTGGAAGTGAGGATCTCAGCAGGCAAAAACTAGAAGACCCAGCAGCCTAGAGAGCAGAAAGCACAGAGCCTTTGGGATGGGGTCTCTACAACCCTTGCACCAAGATGAAAGAGGAAAGTGGAGGTGGTTTGAGACTGCCTTCGACAGGGACAGAAGCTCCATTTGCCACCCAGATTTAGGGTCCCTGGGAAGTGTGCTGTTTTCCTGGATGTCAGGAAAATTGCCAAATCTTTTCCTCAGACCCTACCCTACCCTTTTCTGCTCATCCCTGTGAGTACCAATGATATTACCAGCAATTATATTGAGCAGATCAAAGGAGACTGAGGCTCTTGGCAGCAGGATTAAAGGAGCTTGTAGCACAAGTGGTGTCATCATTAGTCCTTCCAGTGGAAGGTAAGGGTCCAGATAGAGATCATCGTATTATGGAGGAAAATCCATGGCTGAGACAGTGATGCCAATGTGAAGATCTCTGATCCTTTGACAAGGAGTAGCTGTTCTGTGGAGCAGACCTGCTGTTACGAAACATCTCTCCAGAAATGGAAAAAACATCTTTGGGCACTGTCTGGCCAACCTAGTAATGAAGGCTTGAAGCTAGGTTCCACAGAGGTTGCTAAACAAAACCTTCCAGTAACACAGCAAACTACCTAGAAGGGATAAGACTGGAAGAAGCAACTCAACTCAGGAGGGTCTGAGAGTTACAGGAAACCAGCAAAGTATACAAAAGGGAAACAAGTAGGTCAGTATGCAAAATAATGTCCAGCATATGTATACAAATGCAAGAAGTATGGAGAACAAAGAGACAAGAAGGGAATTACAGCTTGTGAAAAGAACTATTATCTGATGAGTACTACAGAGACTTGCTGGTACAGCTCTTACGACTGGAACATCAGTATTGCAGCCAACACTGTGTTTCAGAAGGACAGGGTTAGGAGAAATGTGATGGCTTCACCTTCTATGACAATTTTTTTTATGTGCACACACGCACATGTGTGTATGTATGCACATGCACACACACACACATACACACCACATTCCCTGATTCAGGAGGACAAAGATGTTTGGAATGTATTTGGTAGAAGATTAAAGGTCAGAGAAATACCACTGATATAATGGTGGGGATTTATTATAGACTACTAAGGAAGAAGAGTTGGATGAGGCACTCCTGAAAGAGGCCACAAAATTTATCCAACACTTATGAGATGGTAATGATGGGAGATTTCAGTTTTCTGGACACCTGCTGGAAGAATAATATGACCAAACATAAAATGTTGAGAAAATTCCTAAACTTGTGCAATAGACAACTTTTTGTTCCAGAAAGTTGAGGATACAGCTAGGGGATCATCTGTCTTAGATCTTAACATCTAGGGAAGAAGGTGGAGGCTGTGAAGGTGATGGGGAAACCTGGGAGGAAGCAATCATGATATGGTAGGATTCATGAACACAAGATGGGGAAAAGCATAAGACACGGATTTCAAAAAGGAAGATTCGAACTAATTCAAGGAGATAGCAGGCATGGTGCCAGGGGAGGACAAACTGGAAGATAAAGGTGCCCAGGAGGGCTGGAAGCTTCTAATGGCAACAGTATCAGAAACCCAACAAGAAGGTGTTCTGACATGATGGAAGCACAAGAGGAACAGCACAACATCAATGTGGGTGCACAAGGAGCTTCTATGATGTCTCAGATGCAAAAGGAAAGCATACAGGCAATGGAAACATGGACAGGTGAAGAAGAAAGCATACTAGAAAACAGTAGGGAAAGAATCAAGGGGGCAAAAATAAACTTCCTTGCCAGAGGAACCTCAGTTTTTAAAGATGAAAGGAAGAGATTTCATTTATGTGTTGGGCAGAAAAGAAGGACCAAGAAAGCTGTGGGTCCACTTCTTCTTTCGTATAGCATCAGATATCAGCTTCAAAATCTATGAGCCATTGTCTGACATTATCGCTCAATGTGTGGATTCCATCTACCCTCTCTGGGCATTTGTAAAGATTGCAGCTTTCAGGCATCTCTGTGCTGTTCATTGGACTCTGCATTCACACAGGGAGCTGTCTAAGACGTTAATCTGTATATGGACGTTTTGAAGCATCCACATACAGATCTCAGTCTGTTCAGCTCGACTCATCTTTGTCAAAGTCATGTCCAATGGGGGATTCATTTGGTGTTGGTATAAAATACTGTAGGAATAGGTCTGGCCTTTCCCAATGGTCAGATTACACCACTGCTGCCCATACAGGTCCTTACTGACCACAAGAAACTAGGATATCTCCTCTGGGAGGGTCTTAACCTGTGACAGGCCTGCTATTAACAGTCCCTGTTATTTTTCCAGGTTTGATTTTATAATTACTTGTAGACCAGGAATTTGCAATAGCAAGGATGACACCCTACCTAGAAAGGAGGACTATACAGATGCTACCTCACAGAATCAATTCAAGACTCTGGACCCCAACAAACTTTATATATGGTACAAAGAAAAGGAATTTACTGGAGCTCTTCACTCAACCATCTTCCCTCAACCAAGACCCTCTCCCCCATCCTTTCTGGCTATATTTGTACCCAGTTTACTGAATTTAAGGCCTTGACCTGACCATTAAGGTGGGGGGTAGTATTCATGTTCCAGGAGTTCCGCCTTGTTTAGAGGTGTTCAAACTTGGCCATGACACCAGTAGTTGGTTACTTTGGCCATGCCAAGGCTAAGAGACTCCTCACCCACAATTTTTGGTGGCCCGAGAAGTACTCAGACATCAATTCCTGTAACACATTTTTTTACACCAGGACCTACAAAACCAGCTTCTTTGGATCCCTGCCTTCTCCTCCTTGGCCTTAAGATACAATATCCCTGGACTTCATCACTGAAGTTCCCCACTCCCAACACTATTCCTCAATCCTAGTGGTGGTAGGTAGGTAGATAGATTCACTCACCTATTTCATCCCCTGTTGTGATGTGTCCACTGCCTGAGAAACAGCCCAGCTATTTCTCAGAAACATATTCTGGCTCCATGGCAAGAGTAGGCAAAATAGGGCGCTCAGGCTGTGTCTGGCCCATCAGTTGATTGAATTCAGCTCGCAGCTGCCCCTGCAGTGTTCCACATGAGGCTGAGCCCCACCTGGGACAGCCCGCACCATTCCCTGGCCCACGCCTGCCCTGCACCCACCAACGGCCCTTGCCCCAGCCCTGGCCACCATGCACAGCTTCCTACTATGGCTGACCCTGCTACTGCTGTAGCAACTGGGTACTGCTCAGCTTCCCCTGCCTCCAGTGGTTCCTCCTCCCCCTTCCCCTGTTTCACCACTCCAGGCAATAGGTAGCATGGGAAATTGGTGGCAGCCAGGTGACTGGACAGCTGGTGACTGGGAAGGGTAGCTCCTGCCTGCACTGTCAGGAGCCACACATGGCAGCAGAGATCCCACCCTTCCCAATGGTGCACGTGTGTGGGTTGGTGTGGGGAGCATGTGTGGGGAGGTGTAGGGTTTGTGGAGGTGTGTGTGTGGGCGGGGAGGTTGTGAATGGTGTGGCCCCCCACCCCTCCTATAATGCACAGCCCCTGCTAGCGGCTACAGCAGCAGCAGCAGCAGGCAGCAGACACTCGGAGCACTTATGGGTCATAACAGACAGAGCTCCTCGGCAGTATATGGCTCTAGCTGAGTTCTGGGGGATGCACATGGCAGCAAAGAGCCAGCTTGGCCTACTGGCGAAAGCCTTTGAACCAAACCATGTGGGCTCCATGTCACCACATGGGGCTTCCAGCACTCCAGTGGGGAGCCACATGTGGAGGCACAGAGCCAGCCCAACCTGGTCCAGCAGCACATGCTCCTGGTTACAGTGCCAGGAGCCCGGTGTGGCAGCATAAAGCCCACCCAGCCTGATGGTGCACAGAATGGGAGCCCCAGGGAGTCATGTATCATCGGGCCATGTGGGCTCTGTGTTACCATGTGTGACTTGCCACTGGAGTACTGGAAGCCCCACATGGAAGCCTGGAGTAAGCCCAGCCCAGTCCACTGGTGCATGGCTCCTACCTTTGTACCATATATAAAGTTTGTTGGGGTCCAGAGTCGTGGATGGGGTCTGTGAGGTAACAGCCATATATTCCTCCTTTCTAGATAGGGTGTCATACTAGCTATCGCAAATCCCCACTCAAATTCCTGCTGCAGGCCATGAGTACCCCAAGGGCCTACCACCTGCTGCTGCTGCCAGACCCCATACTCCCACAAACACACCACCAGTCGCCCACCACAAACCTACACCCACACAAACCCCACTTCCCCCCACACCAACCCCACTACAGGCCCCACAAGTCCCACATACTCCCCACACACCCCAAACCCACACACACCCAGACTCCCCCATCCATCTACACATATCCCCACACCCATCTACAAATCCCACCCCCCACAACCCCTACATACCATCACACCCCCCACACACACCCTCCCACACACTTTCATAAACCCACCACCCCACACAAACCCCATACCCCAACACACATGCCACACCAGCACTCCCCCACAGACCACCCACAAACCCCACACCCACCCCACAAATCCCACACCTACCCACACAGTCCGAACACAGTCCCACACCTACCAACACACCCCCACAAATCTATCCACAATCCCCTATACCCCTTCACGACACCCCCCAACAAATCCCACACCCACCCGAACACCCCATACTTACACCCCCCCACACACAATATACAAGAGGAAGACTTTATTTTAAGCTATTATGCAATTACCTCTATAAACAATATGCACACACATGTAAATCAGGACGAAAATATTTTTTAAATAAAATTAAAATATGTTACAGTAGATGCTTGATTTTTAGTATTTTTTTTTGATTCCAAGATGGCAAACCCCTCTCCCAAAAGGAGTACTTCCAGTGGCAAAGTTCAGGGGTTAGGAGCAGGAATTCCAGTCCCAAGATGGCAATCAGGGCAGGGCAGTTGTCAAGGGGTGGAGCTACCCTTGCAGCCCTTGACATATCACCGAAAGTTGTGAAGGAGCCCTCCAGCTGAAATAATTGCCCACCCCTCATCTAGAGTGATCTGTCTCCTGACATACCTCCCTCTCCCCCACATCATCCCTCCAGCATCCACCATCATTGCTTTTGAAATGCCAAAGGGTACATTCCTGACTGTTCTGATGGTTAACAACATGACACTAAAGTAGCAGAAGTAAGACAGACAAACAGAGGAACTCAAAATCAAGTCTTCTTGATAAAAAGCTCCTGAAGAAGGCATTTATGTGTTCTACAGTTCATCTGACCCATTTTGTAATAGCTCTGGGATTTGTTAAATATCAATTTCGATGTGATTAGTAACAGCTTTCATACAAGCCTGTCTGTATATGCGCTGTTATGTACTTAGTGTCTTTCATCCATATTCCGCACACGATAATTCTCAGAGATGCCACCTGACCCGATGAAAGAGTAAACTGTGTCAATTTTCTGAGTCCTGGATTGGAGTCTGATATTATCTCCAGTCTGCAATGCAAAAAAAACCCACAAACATTACATAGATTTCTATAGTAAATCATAAATATAGAGCCTTAAGTGAAAAGCAAAACAGCTGAAATTGGAACTGTGATATATGAGGAGACTTTGAAGTTATACCAACATCACCCTGAAAAGAGATGAGGAAATCATAGTAAAACCTGAGCATTGAGAATAATACAACAACAGCCTCATAGAATCATAGAAGTAGGGTTAGAAGGGACCTTGTAGATCTCCTGCCTGGGCGGGAGAAAAACTGGACTCAAATGAGTCCAGCCAGGTAGGCATCAAGCCTCTTCTTAAAGATCCCCAGGGTAGGAGCCAGCACCACTTCCCTTGGAAGTTGGTTCCAGCTCCTAGCCACCCTAACTGTGAAGTAGTTCTTGCGGATGTCTAATCTAAACCTACTCTCTAATAATTTGTGTCCATTGTTCCTTGTCATGCCGGGGGGCGCTAGGGGAAACAGTGTCTCCCCTAAACCCTTCTGGTCC